ATGCCTTTACAAATGCGAGGCAAGTTCTTGCAGAGCGTCTCTAGGAGCGCCACGTGCTGTGTGTAGTGCCTCGCCCGGCAGCTTTCCGATAACACGGGCAGCAAGTCTGGAAATAATGGAGGCTTTCAACAAAATGGTAGAAACTTTTAAAATAATTAGGATTTCCCAACAATTATCACCTAAATCCTTTAGTTTTCGCAATGCATCGATCGCCACTGTCATATTATTTTTGTTTGGGACTTCTATCAGTATTTTCATATGATTAAACTGCTTTACTTTATGCTGCAACAAAAACTTAACACGTTGACTACGATTGCTTCATCTTTTACTATTATTTCATTTTTTGTACTTTTTTTAAGCAGGGTTGCCAGACGATCATTTTTTCCGGACAAATTCCGCGATTTAGTTTTTCTCACTTGCGTTGGCCAGCTAAAATTTTTAATAGGGGTGCTTCCTAAGTAAATTTTAAGTACTGGAAAAAGAAAATAAATGGAATTTTTATAGCGGAACCTACAAATAAACTAGTATACATTGAATTATCGGCATTTTTTGGCCTTTTTTGTTCTCGGAATTGGCCGATTTTAGGCAACCTGAATTATGTACCACTACCTCCTGGAGAAATACATTTCGTGGAACGCATATGTACCAATACGTATTCAACGTGTTAAGCGCATAAAAAATTTAAATTATTTTAAACCGAGAAGTCAGATTTTATACAAGTGTTTTTCACATTTAAGGAAAAACGGCCATAAGAATATATTCTTTTAAACTTTAAGGAGATAAATTTTATCAAAGTGTATTTCACTCCTAAGGAGAATTTTGCCCAAGTGACACCCGGAACTGATTAATGACTGACACGTGCTCCTGACGGCCGCCTACGATGGCCAGTTCACCCACCAATGACAGACACGTGCTCCTGATGGCCACCTACGATGGTCAGTTCACCCACCAATGACAGACACGTGCTCCTGATGGCCACCTACGATGGTCAGTTCACCCACCAATGACAGACACGTGCCCCTGATGGCCACCTACGATGGTCAGTTCACCCACCAATGACAGACACGTGCCCCTGATGGCCACCTACGATGGCCAGTTCACCCACCAATGACAGACACGTGCCCCNACACAAGTTACACATCTGGCAAACATAAGTTACACATCTGGCAAACACAAGTTACACATCAGGTAAACATAAGTTACACATCTGGCAAACAAAGTTACACATCTGGCAAACAAAAGTTACACATCTGGCAAACAAAAGTTACACATCTGGCAAACACAAGTTAAACATGCAGCAAACAATGGAATGTAACCCTTCCTAATATTCGAGGAAGCAATGTAGCAGTGTCAACTCGAATTTCAACTCAAAAAGCAACATACAATTATCCCGTTCATATGAAACGAGTTTACTTTTAATGTAATAACCTCTTGATTGGGACTTCTTAAATAACTTGCCATCCAATTTTAATGTAATCGTGATTGAATACTTCATAATTACTGAATCAGGAGCATCACCCATAACACCAGACTAGCCTTATTAGAAAGTTCGGAAATCATTTGTCATTAATTTTAAATGCAATCGTGATAAAATACTCTGTATGTATATTAAATAATTACTCGCCTTATTGGAAGTTCCGAAATCGTTTGCCATTCATTTTAAATGAAAATGTAATTAAATGATACTAATTCAATAAATATAATTACAAGACCAGTAGCAGGCACTTGCCTTGCAGCCTCTCCTTCAGCAGTGGGACGACCCTGGCCAGGGCGTCCCCAGCGTACGCCTGCACCACGTGACCCAGCGCCACGGCCGCGCCCTGGCGCACGCTCGGTATGCTGTCCTGCCATATAAATAATATTATATTTTATATTATAATAATAAAATATTATCACAGCATCAATATATTAAATATTACATATAATAGCACGTCTACACCAATAGACCTAGCGCCACGGCCGTGCTGTCCTTATCAGGACAGCACGCTCGGTATGCCGTCCTCCCATATAAATAATATTATTGTATATTATAATAATAAAATATAACTACAATATCAAAGTATCAAATATTATATTTAATAATACGTCTACAGAACGCAACCTAGCGCCATGACATCGACCAGACACATGCTCTGTATGCTGTCCAGCCCAAATAATAATATAATGTTTAATGGTATTATAATGATATAAAATATCATTGTATTGTATCATTGTAATATATGATAGGTACATATTAGACAATCTAGATTGAGGCAAAATTGAAGATAATATTCTAATAATACAAAATATTTTCAAGATATCATTGTATTATATTTTGGATATAGAAAATATGAAATAATATACTAATATAAGCTTTTAAAGCTAGACAAGTCAACAGTCTAAAGTAATAAACACAGAGAAAAAGTATCAGCACTGGAATAATTAAGCGAAAATCAGCCGTTAATGTAAAGTATAAAAAAAATTGCAGGGAACAGTAGGTTACAAATCAACGAGACACGAGTCAAATTAAGAAAGATTCACATGTCGACAGGAGAAATAGATTAAATTTAATAATAAGCAGAAGTGAGAAATGAATTACAAGCAAACAGATGTTCAATATCAATCAATGAAACATGATTTCAAAGAAATATCATAACCTCTGCACAGTGTTGCCTGATATGCTACGTAGAAGTAAATAGTAAATACAACTCATATGATCTCTCTGGATAGCTGATAGGTAATATCTATAATGAAAAAATAGATAGTATAGACCTTAGAAATAAATATAGGTATGCGAGTTTTTTGAAGCCAGAAGATGCAATAAATAAAACATACGCGTGCATTCAATGTGCATTATTTCCTCTCACTTCATTATGATTAAATACGTAAATTAATCAGCTTGTAGTAAGCAACATGAGTAACGTGATGATAAGATTCGAGAGTTAACCTGCCCTGCAAGTTATTAATGATAAGATTTGAGAGTTAACCTGCCCTGCAAGTTAATAATGATAAGATTTGAGAGTTAACCTGCCTGAAGCAACTGACCTGCAAGTTATCAAAGAAGAGCGGGTACAGCTGAGGCATGGTGAAGCTGGCCTCCTCAGGGAAGCTCTGCACAAAGTGACCGCAAGCCACGCAAGCCGCTGTAAATAAATACAACAAATAAACACCGCTGCAGTATAATTTACAATACACCACAAAACTTGTTCTAAAACAACCAAGCCTGATGCTAGTTGCTACTCATTCCAAGCACAGAAATACCATGAAAATTACCTAACTAATCAATGACAGGCACCTACACAATTCCAATTTTTTTTATGGTATGTAACGTACTATTCCATTATTTTGTTAAACCAATTTAACAATTAAGTTTCTGCTCCAAATTTCAGCTGGGTGGGTGACATGGTAGTTAACCATAGATACTATTGCTCAGTTGAAGTCATTATATCGAAGTCATTATACAGGAAAGTCGACACTAAGTTATAACGTCTGAGCATACCGACTTCAACTGACTAGAAGTCTTCAGCTGACAATAGAAGAATGACACTTTAAATATTCATCCTCAACCATATATTCTAATGCTTATGGTGTTTCATCGAGTTAGTGACATAGAACCGACCATCTCTGACTGGCCAGGAGTCTTCAACTGACAATAGAAGAATGACACTTTAAATCAACCATTTATTCTCCATTTATTCTAATGCTAATGATATTTCATCAAGTTAGTGACATAGAACCGACTATCTCTGACTGACCAGGAGTCTTCAGCTGACAATAGAAGAATGGCACTTTAAATCAGTGGTTCCCAAACTTTTTCAGGCTGGCGCCCCCTGGGCTCCCCAGTGAATCTCTAGCGCCCCCCCGGTGAACGACACATATAAAAATAAACGCCTCTTTCTTGATATTTAGTATGCTGCAATTTTGAAAGAAAAAGGTCAAACACAGATCTTTCCAGAGGCCCCCAAAGATCCTTCCACCGCCCCCAGGGGGGCGATATCGCCCACTTTGGGAACCACTGCAGTTTAAATCAACCATTTATTCTGACGCTTATGGTGTTTCATCGAGTTAGTGACGTAGAACCGACCATCTCTGACTGGCCAGGAGTCGTCCGTGAAGCACTGCAGCAGGGCAGAGAGCAGCTGCGCCACGTATGGCTGCACGCCGCTGCTCGGCAGTTTGGTCGCCAGCTCTGCGATGCAGGCGCAGGCCGCCTCCCGTACAGCGTGGTTGTCCGCTGTTGTTGCTTCGATGTAGTAAGAGACCTGCGCGTGATGAGGGAGCGTTAGAAGCACCTGCGCGTGATGAGGGAGCGTTAGGAGCAGGGTGAGATATATCACAGAGTACATGTATGAATGCTTGGAACTTCGAGATGTAAGAATTCGATGTAGTAAGAGACCTGCGCGTGTGATGAGGGAGTGTTAGGAGCAGGGCGAGATATGTTACAAAGTACATGTATGAACGCTTGCAACTTCGAGATGTAAGAAATTAGTTCGATGATCTTGAACGCTGCAGGCTTTGTGGAAAGAAGGAACAAATGAAAAATATAAAAAATATAGATTTTCCCGGCAATAATGCACTCACATGCATGAGCAATAAATAATAAGTTGAAATAAATTTGTATTTCAAATGAAAAATAATTTTGGACACAAACTTTTAAATTGCCATCTCGTGAACAGCGTTTGAGAATTATTTTAATCAAGAGACATTTACAGACCAATCACAGGAAAGTAAAAATTCAACTCATGACTTATTCTAAACTCATTGATTCATCATTAAAATACTTTTATCTCAATTACAGGGCTCGTCTAATAATTCAATAGTTTTGAATGACGCTTTAACAGGTAGAGGCCTTGAGACAAAAATTTAACGCCCTCGGTAGTGATATTTATTGTAAAATGCTCATTAAATAGAGTAAAAATACTCACGTTACTCATGACTCACCACATGCTCCATGTACTGCAGCACCAAAGCCTTGCCCTCAGTCCCGGTCACCTGACGCCACGTCTCCTGAGAGTACAAACGCACTCCCTCCGCTACGTAGTACCTAAGGTGTACATAAATTAATGATTATTAATTTCACCCGAGTGACGGGTGATCTTTCATCTTGCCGAACGCTTCGTATGCAAATTTCTTACCAAGAATCTTGGTACTTATAATCATTGTTTAAATGATTTATTGATGCCGCATTATTTTGAGTGTTTATTCGGCACTCAGAAGATGAAATAATACGGAAAATGAGCTTTCATTCTCAAACTCTACCATTAATTATTTTCTCTCCCTGAACTGAAGAAATAACGAACTAGGAAATTACTTATTGACTGTAAAGCTTGAGGTTGAAGCTGTAACAACAAATCGAGAAATTTCCGAATGTCTAAATGAAGTGCAAAAATGTCGGCCAAGTACACACGTGTGACGTGCTTTCTGTTCACACAAAATGAATTAACGCTAGACGTCATTTTCCTGTAACTTCAATCCTTCAATCCTTACAGGACGTCTTCAATCCTTACAGGACGTCTTCAATCCTTACAGAAGTATTTTCCAGATTTTAATAAGTCTTCTAGTTAATGGATTTCTTGGTTGAAGAAATTATACGCAAGGCTTATCGTTTTTATAATCTATTGAAAGTTGTTTCATTCATCCTATGCGAGAAATGTGATGTTTCCTACAAATCAAGAATCGTCAAACATCGAGAACTCATTCTTCCTGAAATACATTCAGTTGTATGCATGAATTCTTTCGGTAGAAACCACTTCTGAGAAGTTACTCTGTTACAAACGGAGAATGAATCCCAAAAAAGGGTAGGTAGTTGAAAACGCCATAATAATTTGCAAGCTAACTCTTGGAATAAGAAGGATTAAGTATTTGTTCGCTGTGCATGCAGTGGCTGTTTTCAGAAATCCAAAAATCGGGTTACGAGTCGCAGACATATACAGATTGCAAAGTCGCTACCCGAGTGTTTTGCGTAAGTAATCAAAGCAAATTTAATATCTTGATGATTATTAGAAAACCCACTTGATTATAACTCGACAATACATTACTATAATTTTGTCCCAATGTCCAACCATAAATTTTGCGAATTTCACCTAAACTGTTTAGGAAAAATATTTTTTAACATATTATAAATAATATTTGTTTCGACTTCCAGTTTTTTTCCATCTCATTGAAAGACCTGCAAACTGTGAAGTAGAACACGTACGGCTAAGCTTACCATGCAACTGCCTTTTCATCCATCAGAATGAGGAAAAATTTCGAAAAGCAAATAGCAACATAGAAAGCAACAAATAATCGAAACCGTATGAAGCAAGTTGAAACTGGACTTCTAGATAAGTGGGACTTGAACCGAAAACCAGCAAATGGACGGCCGACTGGCTACTTAGAATTTTTTTTTTTGACACAAGTCGCCATCTAGGCTATGACAGACAATTTAAACGCCATAAATTTCTAATAGAAGAACACGGCTCATACTGCACAGGTTATTCCTTAATTGACTACCAATTCTGACAGACTGCCAAGAGGTAATGCCCTTTTC